TGGGGGGGGGGGGACAAGAAGAGGAATCAGAAGCATAAGTGGATATAGATGGAGAGGAAGTAGCAAAAAATACCGAGAATTGTGCCATATCCTTGCAAGCTCTCAATGAGACTTTAGGCTTCAAAACCTTGAGATTGAGAGGCTTTACTGAATAGAAGCCACTTAAAGTGTTTATTGACTACAGGTCTACACATAACTTTATGAATGAGGAAGTAGCAAAAAGACTGGGTGTGTGGTTGAGGACTTCAAACCTCAATTGGTACAAATTACAGATGGCGGGGAGATAACTACTTCAAAATATGTAGGGGTTTCCAACGGTTAATGCAAGGAGATAAATTCCAATATGATTTTTTTCATCTTTCCTATAGGCAAGAGTTATATAGTTTTGGGAATACAATGGTTGTGTCCTATATAATATATCAAATTCAACTTCAGAAAGTTGATGATGGAGTTTTAATACCAAGGAAAGGTGCTTAAAATGCAAGGTATTCAACCTAAGTTCAAGAATGTGCAAGCCAGGTCCCTTGAGTCTATGACACTGATGGACTCTCAGTTCTTTATGGTCAAAGTTAAAGATAAAGAACAGGAAATAGAGCCTACAGAAGAAGGAGAACCTGCTGAAGTTCAAGAAATACTAAGAGCATATGAGGCAGTCTTTGGAGAACCTACACAACTATCCCCACCAGATGAGTGCTTGATCATCAAATTCCTCTTTTTGTAAGGTTGTTCAGTTGTGAATTCCAGACCTTATAGGTACTTCCCATTACAAAAAGATGTTATTGAAAAGATAGTGCAAAAAATGATGAAACAAGGTATCATTCAATACAGTTCCAGTCCTTATGCCTCACCAGTGGTACTTGTGGGTAAAAAAGATGGTTCATAGAGGCTGTATGTAGACGACATATCCCTGAACAAAAAGATAGTAAATAATAAGTTTTCAATCCCTGTCATTGAAGAATTATTGGATGAGTTAGGAGGATCATAAGTCTATTCTAAGATATACTTGAGAGATAAGTACCATCAAATAAGAATGGTTGCTTCAAATGTGCATAAAACAACTTTCAAAACACACTCAGGATATTATGAGTATTTGGTTATGCCATTTGGCTTAACCAATGCACCTTCTAGTTTTCAAGGGTTGATGAACCACATATTTCAAAAACATCCTAGAAGATTCATCCTTGTCTTCTTTGATGACATTCTAATTTATAGCAAGGATTTGCAGGAGCACTTGCAATAGATTAAAAATGTGTTTGACCTGTTAATTCAGCATCAATTGTTGGCTAAAGGAAGCACATGTGTCTTTGCTACAAAAAAGGGTAGAGTACCTGGGCATTATATCTCAACTGAGGGTGTTTCAACTAATCCACATAAGATTGAAGCAGTGAAATCTTGGCCTAAACTTGGTTCCGTGAAACAACTGAAGGGGTTTTTTGGAATGGCTGGCTACTACAGGAGATTTATAAAAGGATATGGAGTAATCAGTGAGCCTCTTACAAATTTCTTAAATAAGGATAACTTCAATTTTAATGAAAAGATATGAAAGGACGTCTGCAAACTCAAGGCAACTCTGACATTTGCCCCAATTATAGCTCTTCCTGATTTCAACATTCCCTTCATTGTGGATACTATTTCAACTGATCCACATAAGATTGAAGTAGTGAAATCTTGGCCTAAACCTAGTTCTGTGAAACAACTGAAGGGGTTTCTTGGACTGGCTGGCACTACATGAGATTTATAAAAGGATATAGTGTAATTAGTGAGCCTCTTACAGATTTCTTAAAGAAGGATAAATTCAATTGGAATGAAAATATATAGAAGACCTTCTGCAAACTCAAGGCAGCTCTGACATTTGCCCCAATTCTAGCTCTTCTTGATTTCAACATTCCCTTCATTGTGGATACTGATGCGTGAAACGTGGTGATAGGGGTTGTTCTCATGCATAAAGGGAAACCAATTACCAACCTGAGCAAGGGTTTATTAGCACAATACTAAGCCTTATCTGTCTATGATAAACAATTGTTAGCTTTGGTAATGGCCATAAAAAATGGTCTCAGTACTTAACTAGAAGACACTTCACTATGAAGACTGATCAAAAAGCTCTCAAGTTCCAACTAGAGCAGAAATTGCACACTAGTTCACAGTTCAAATGGATAGCCAAACTCATGCAGTATGATTTGTCTACAGAGTACAAGAACAGAAGAGAAAACAAGGCAAGTGATGCCCTCTTTAGACTACCAATAGTGGAGTTATCTGCTATGACCCTATCCATTATCTAAACGGACATGTTAGAGCTGATTAGAAAGAGTTAGGAAGTTAATGATGAACTTAAATATAATAAAAGCCATTGATGAAAAATGACAGGAATATAAATGGTACACCTTTAAACATGGTCAGCTAAGGAAGTATGACAAGTTAGTTGTAGGTCCAGATGTGCAATTGAGAACCTTCATTATGCAGTTATGGCATGATTCTCAGGTTGGAGGGCACACAGGGATTGACCACACATTTAAGAAGATATAAGCCTTATTTCATTGGAAGGGGTCGAGGGATGATGCACATAAGTATGTTAAAAGCTGTGATATTTGCCAAAGACACAAATATGACAGTGCACCTTACCCTGGAATTCTACAATCTCTAAAGCTGCCTACATCAGCTCGGAGTAGCATTAGTATGGATTTCATAGAAGGACTCCCTAAGTCAAAAGGGAAGACATTTATATGAGTAGTAGTTGACGTGTTAAGTAAATATGCACATTTCATAGGTCTCTTCCATACCTATTCAGCTGGAAATATTACAAAGCTCTTCATAGAGCACATACACAAACTGCATGGAATGCTTGAGGACCTAGTTAGTGACAGAGATCTAATCTTCACTAGTAAAGTATGGCAAGAGTTGTTTGCCATAATGAGGGTGACCCTCAACATCTTATCACCCTCAAACTGATGGCCAAATAGAGGTGGTGAACATATCAAAAAGCTCTACTTGGCTGCAGCTGAATGGAAGTATAGTACTACATTCTATTATTCCATTCAGACAACCCCTTTTGAAGCACTATATGGTCAACCACCCTCATTACATCTTCCCTATGTTGCTGGGGATTCTGGAGTGGAGGAGGTGGATAAGTATATCCTTAAAATGGTAGGACATAATTTTTCTAAGCTCTTAGCAAGTTATTATAGACCTTATTAGATCTTGTAGAAGATAGGAAATGTTGCTTACAAGTTATCCCTACCTCGTGAGTTGCTACTTTATCCTACATTTCATGTGTCCCGGTTAAAATAATGCCATAAACTGCCCAATACTATCCTTTATCCTCCAATTTTAGATCTTGCCAGCCCTTAATACCCATAGCCTCACAAGATACTTGTCAGGCGCATGATACAAAAGGGTAACAAAGTTGTCGCTCAAGTTTTGGTTCAATGGTCACAAGTGCCAGCTGAGCAGGCCACATGGGAAGAATACCCAGTGAGGTTTCCATCTTTGTTTCCTTAAGTACAAGAAAGATTTTTACAATGGAGAACTAATACGAATATGTAGTAGTGAAGCTTGCGGCGGTTGTACATCTTGTTGAGTTAGTAATATAGTTAGTTAAGTTAGTTAAGCTAGAGTGTTTTATTAAAGTTTGTTAGTCAGACACTTGAGTCCCTTAAGTTTCCCCGTCCATAGTTATTATAGTTACACATACGTCCCCTAATTTACTCTGTCTTATTCACATCTAGTCCAGATCATTTATGTTAGAATCTGGCAGAGAAAATGTCAGAGGTGTTGAACTCATCAACCTTCTATATGCTTGTAATTCCTTCATTTTGAGTATGAATTAAAACCATGTTTTACTTTCGTGCTTCGTCTTTCAATTTTCTTCCTTTCATTGCATTTTTCTTCCTTGTTTCTTTTGTTTCTTTTTTACGGTTCCATTGATTTTTGCATCAGCTGCCTTAAGCCAAAGATGGAAAGTTCATTACAGAAAAAGACAAAAGGATGAAATATTAGGGACCGAACAAGAACAATAGGTTTAACGAGGACAAATTGCAGCCAAAGTGAAAGTAGGGGGACCAAAATTTACTTTCCTCGTCGAATAACCCAAGCTGGATCCTTGCAAAAAATCGGGTCTCTTACCTTCGCTCCAAAAGTCTTTTCACGAAACGCTAAATCGCTCGACAAATCAATGGCGGCAATCGCCGAATCATCTGAAGCAAATGCAGACTCGCCGTCGCCGTCGCCGTCTCCGTCGTTACCAGCAGATAGAGTTAAGCATGAAGACAAGTCGGATACCGTGGGACAGGGACTTGGAGAGTTCGTCCCATGGATCGACAACGCAGTGCAACAGGCGCAGCTTGCACAGAAGACAGTAGAAAACACATTAGAGAATGCAATTGTGGTGACCAAATCTCGTCTTGATCGTCTTTTAACCACCTCCTCTGTACACTTCAATCAAACACTTGTAAGCTCCAGTTATTATCGCTTTATATGTTTGCTTTATGCCTCATCCGCGTTAGAAATTATATTTCCTACTGCAAGTGTTTGTTTGTGTATTTTCTTCTAAATTAGCTGTTTGATCCCATAGTTCCATATCAACTTAATTACAAGCGCAATTGCTTTCGTTGGTGCACAATTCAGTTTGAATGCTTTATGTTTTCGGTGGAAAATGTTTTAACTTGGGAACTTTTCCATGATTTGATCGAATATTAAAGTTGATGACATATAATAATTATACAAGGTAGGATAGTATTTGATGTTGATAACATTCTCTATGTTTTTTTTAGTAACGGTGGTAACTGGCCAGCTTGTGTGCACCTCAACTATTCCACCGATTACCTACTATCTCCTACTAGTACAGAATATCGGGTAACTCCGGCCAAAGCTTAGGTAGACGAAAAGAAATCTAGTATGCTTTGCCTCCGCTAGGATTAGAATCTGATACCTCATGGATCTCCTCTCACTACAACAATCTCTAAGTTATAATTGAAGTGATATGGATAAAGATATGTGATATTTGTGAAGGAAAATGACTTATGTCAGTAAGTGATAGAAGTCATTTGCTTAGAAAAAGTGAGTATTTGCTCCCTTTTGGTGGAAGTGTTTTGTTGGAGAAAATATCTTTCACAATTCAAAGTAACAAGAACTGGAAATTATGTTCCACAAGGAAAGCATTTGTACCCCGTGCCAAAACACCCTTATCTTGATCCAATTTCAAGTATATTGGACAACCATAGAAGCACATCTATTTTTGAATGAATTAAGACTTGAGGAATTAAACTACCAAATCTTTTTTTTTTTGATAAGGAACTACCAAATCTTAGTTTGTTGATGTCCATCACCAGTATGTCCCCTTTTGGTGCATACGTAATCAATGAAATAGAAGATTGTTTCATTATAGTGAGAGTGATGTAGAAATCACTAAAAAGATTCCTTTTATTTCACTTGTATTTGAGGTGTAAAGAGAGAATAATATGTTCTGTTATTGTGGAGATAGCTGGCAATATGATAGATAATTGTGGATGTCTACGTCGAGTAATATAAACAGCTTGAAGGTACTTTTGGCACTGACTTGGCATTTACTAATAAAAATTTAGTTTAAGGAAAAATAATGGGTTTGTCCAGGATACTAAAAATGCAATTACATATTTGCATTATTCACCAATTATTGATTTTGTTATGGTTTTTTGACTTCTATTATGCTCTCTATGGTAATTTGGATTTTAGAAGGAATTAAGGCTCATCTGATTTGAATCAGGAGCGAATTTATAGGGGAGATTATAGGACATGTGAACCCATGGTTTCTTGTTATGAATTAGGCTGATAGAAACTTCTATTAATTACATAGTAGTCCCTTGACTTCTTAGAATTACAGTAAATCCTTTTCTTTAGCTTTATAATGTAATATTTCCTCATAGTTAGAGGCATCTGAAATGAAAATCTAAGCTTTTCTTTAAAATTTTCCTTTCTTCTTTGTTTCTTTTCCTTTGCTTAATTCATGACGATTCCAACATGGGAATCGTTACATTTGGTATCAGAGCCGACGATTCTCTGCTGTTCATCGGTGTTAATGTCACAGTCCGGCGCAGGTTCAAATCAGTTGGAGCAACATATTCAAACTTTTATGGAAAGATCGAACAGAAAACTGCAGTATATGGAAGAATGGTATCAAAATCGTTTCAGAACCTTCCATAATTCAGAAAATCAGTATAACCTTCAAAGTTCAGAGTGTGGGCAGCGGGTTTTTGACGACCTGTATTCATATCATCAGTATCTTGGTGCAAATCCAAGTTTTTATCGAGATTCCTGTAGTGATTTCACTGGTGGATTCGCTAACCTAACGAATGGAGGATGGAATTATCTCGATTCACCCACAAATGCTTACTTTTACCAGAATCCATATGCTTACCATTTTGACGGTAACTATCCAGGTTTCTATTTGGTTCGGTTGGGTGATGGTTCTGTTGTGGCAGTGACAGCCGCTGGGGCTGCTCCTATACACAGAGACCAGCAGACAGTGACGAGTAGGTTCAGGAAAAATAGGAAGACGAGAGCATACGTCAGTGCCTGCCATGGCCGTATCAGAAAACATATGAAATATTTTGGCAGTGGAGGAAAGACACGCCGCATGTACCATCACAGAATACTCTTTGATAAATACCATTTTGGTTACTTCGGGAAAGTGGGTATGAACCATGTTCAAAAATGCAGGAACTTGCCTATGCAAGAAATGACTGGAATATCATCTCTCCAGAACGACGTCTTAGAGAAAGCTGTACAGGAAGAAGAAGAAGATTCTGGTAATGGTGATGTTGAGTGTGTACAGATGGAAGGAGAAGATGAGAAGGAAGGAATCTCGGTGGAGGACCAACTGTTTGATATAAGTTCTCACAGAAATGAGGTTGAGCTGCAATGTGGATTTGATAACAGGGAATCCTTTGTGGTTCCTACTGTTGGCCTAGACTATGAAGTGCTCTATGAGACTGAGAACTTTGTTTCTAAGGAGATCTTGATTGCTGAATCTAAAAGGGAAGAGAATATGCTAAAGGATGTGAAAGATGTTGGTACTGAAATTGCAGTAAATCAGGTGGGAAAGATGTTCGATGAAAGTTCTCAAAGGAACAAAACAGGGTTTATGAAGGAGTTTAGGAATAAGGATGTTTCCTTTGGTCCCTTGAGACATAATTCGGGTGATGATGGACTATTAGAAATTGAAGATAAAACTGCTAAAAGTATAGGAGAAAACGTTAACTACGTGTTTGATAAATGTTCTCAAAGAGTCAGGGAGACTTTTGAAGAACTTTTAATCCTTGTATGTGACCTAAAGAATGATAGTCCAACATTCAACAAGGATTTAGAGCTAGAGAGTGAATTTCTGCTTAGGGCCTGGAGGGAAAAGGTAGTTTTCATGACCTACGATGACGATAAAATAGTTTATGATATGAGAGAGCTAATAGAAAAATATATGAGTGCTACTTCTTCTACAGGTACAGTCTCATCCGACAATAGTGTTTCCTCAATTCCTGTCAATCCTTCTCATTTTAAAAAAATCGTACCTACCAGATGTGTTATTCCCCTTGCTGATATACAAAGTTGGGGTGCAAAAGAAATATCTAAGAGTGGTTCTATGTTAATTCCAGAAGTTGATGCTACTGTTTTGGTCTCAATTGGTTTTGCACCTTCAACTACCCTTTCAACTGTAGTTCATCTAAGTTGGATGAGGTACTCATGCCAGATCCATTTGATGATAGGTCTTACACTGTTTTTAGGTTAGCGTTTACAGAGGTCAAAGATGTTGTGTGCTTGGACAAAGAATTAAGTGACTTTGCATCATGGTTAAGTGGTTCTTATGTGAGTGGAGAGCCAACAATTTCCTTTGAGAATAAGGTAGATTTAAGGTTTCAGTTGACAAAGAAAGCAGACACAGATTTTGTACCATATCTTATTTCACTCATGTGTAATGTTCAAAGAGTAGTGAAGATACACCAAGATTGGTCGGGAGGTGTACGCCATCTATCTGAGCAAAAAACTGGAAGATGTGTTGGCTTCAAGTCCCCCAAAGGGTATTACGGAGCAGCAGGTGTTGCACAGGTTAGCCAGATTGTTGACTACTGTGATTTTGAGGATGTTTGAAACCTTAAATGCAGTATATCAAGTTCAAATTGTGGCTGCACTATTAGAGTACGAAGGCTATCGTTTTCAGCCCCCTAATCCGAACAAAGATAAGCTTCAGTCCTTGTGTGATTGAGCTTGTGAGGTTGAACTTAAAATTCAACATTGCAGGGTACTTGAGTGAGGAGATTGAGGTTGTGAAGATGAAATTTAGAGAGAATTGGTTACTTTGTGTGGGTGCTATATTTCTACTGTTATATTTCGCATTGGGTGGAATTGGATTCTCACGGGATGGTGTGAAGAGGTGGTTGATATGGTATCAATGCAATGTACCATTGAGGTATTCTGTGCATTCAGATCTTGCTTCTCAATATGCTTGCCTTAATATGCTCAATGTGAAGGGTTTAACTAATGAGGTAAATGAGAAGTTTTTCAAAGTAGTTGCATATGATAACTCTCTGCAAAAAGGTAACATTATATTCAAAGCTAATTCGGGGCTCAATTATGTAGCTAATGGGTCATCTTTCTACAAGAAAGAAATTCCTTGCTTTAGAAGGGCTGGGATTAAAAACTTGGTGGGGCTAAGACTATTACAGATATTATTGATTGTATTAGCTTTGGATAGAGCTAGTATAATAACTTGTGGTATCTTTGAGAGATGTTTTAAGGATTGGATTATAACACCTGGTTATGATAGTATTGTCATCATCTCCATTAGCCATCAGACAAGAAAATACAAGGTACCAACAACTAATGTTTTGCTGGGTCTTTTTGTGATTATGCTTGTCATGCTTTCCATTTTTGGATCAGTTGATTTCTTGAGTGGAATAGATAATATGTTCATATTGGGGAATGACGGAACAACATTAGCACTAGCTAGCCATTTAAAGGTCTTGGCATTCGCAGTTGGTGATTTCATTCCTAAGTTGGTGTGTTATGTTTCTTCCGGGTTTTGCCGCAATGATTACTCTGTTGACTTCCTTCTTCAAATCGCTGCTTTTGTTTCCATGACTTGTTTAAATTTTTTGAAAGCTCAAGTTAGCAAGATCGATGGTGTTGGAAAAACTAAAGCAAAGCAATATTATGTCAATGATGTGAACATAACACAGATGCGTGTTTCGCTCGATGGTGATGGTAGCTTTGCAGGGCGATGTGTTGTCTATGAGACATGGCATCTGAGTGTTCTTCCAAAGTACACAACTGATGGGACCAATTACATTGTGGTGAGTACTCAAGTGGGATTCACTATGGATCCAAGGGGTGGAAGATCATCTCAGTACTATACTGATATTGAAAAAGTTTTGAATTCTCCAATTTTCCTTGACAATGGTGATGATGACGAGGTTGTTGCTATGTGCGTGAATGTGTTGCAGAATGGCACCAGAAATTCCACTCAGATGTCGTGGGTGATATTTTTTGTTATCGTAGATTTCTCTAGTTGCACTTCACACACAAGTGTCATTGGAGCAGTGATGTCTTTGTCAATTTCCATTGAGCAGTAATGTCTATGTCAATTTCCATTGCCAGTCTTCTATGTCAATCTTGAGGACAAGGTTGATCCAAAGGAGGGTGGAATGTTATGAATTAGACTGATAGACACTTCTATTAATTACATAGCAGTCCCTTGACTTCTTAGAATTACAGTAAATCCTTTTCTTTAGCTTTATAATGTAATATTTCCTCATAGTTAGAGGCATCTGAAATGAAAATCTAAGCTTTTCTTCTTTAAAATTTTCCTTTCTTCTTTGTTTCTTTTCCTTTGCTTAATTCATGATGATTCCAACATGGGAATCGTTACATGTCTCCGCAAAATTAGATATTTTATGTAGGTATTTTTTAAAATTGGTATAATATTATTTGTTTGCTCCCATGCTCCAAGAAGGTTGAATGATGCTCTTGGTTGAGGGTTGAGTTGTTTACCAAGAGTAATAGGGATCAATTCCCAACTTTCCCTCCTTTTTTCCCAATAATGCACCCATGTACTAGAAATCCTAGACATGCTTTGAATGTCAGACCGGATGCTGCACTTTATGACAAGATTATATTATCCATATCATGCTTTTGTTTCCCCTCTGTCAGATCTCATCCCACCGTTTGCTTGTATTACATTAATTGGAGCAAATGGCTGATGATGCAACCCAGTTCTGTTTTTCTGAGACCTATTCCTTTTAGGACAACCCCTTGATTGTTCTGCCCTTAATAAGTTGGTTTCTTCTAAGTAATAATTATGTGTTATTCTTTTGTTCATTGCATAATGATTTAAATGTGATGCATGTTGGTTGCAGGATTCCTTGCAAGATCTGAAGTCTGAATATAGCGTATATGAGGACTTGGTTTTTGGGAAGATCAGAGGTTAGTTGCTACCATTGGTCCATTTGATGTGTTGTTTTTTAATTTCTCTTCATAGCCTTAGCTTTGATCAATGGAGAATGTGCTGCAGAGGGTCTTCTCCTCGCTGCTTCACACCCCCTAACAACTACTGGAGCTGTTCTTGGTGTTGGAGTCCTGGGTCTGAAAAGTAAGTCCTTTCAATTCTTTAGGTGCTGAATCAAATTTCAGGGATGGGCATATGCAGTTTGAGTTAGTCAAAGTGTTCTCTACTTAATACCTACTGCCTCTATGTCCCATGTGATAAAGGACTCAAAGGGTATTTGACTGTTGGACAACTCCTAATGCAATTGGCTCATTGGATAGTTTTGGCCAAAGCTAGAATTTCAGTAGTCTGTAATCAGCTTGCTTGGATTGGACTTTTCTTACTTGAGTATTATAGGCAGGCATACAATATATCACTTACATTATTTAATTAACCTCCCTTGTACTTTGTTAAAACTAGAGAGACCTCTTGTTCTGTTTACAATGACATGCTGTAGCATTAGGTATTGAACAGTTGGTACAAAAGTCTGCCCTTTTGTTATAGCTTCGTTCTTTGATTTGTCAAAGTTGTCGATGTATCCTATCTTTTATTGATAATTGCTATTTACTTTCACAAATTCATTAAGGAATGCCATGCCATGCCAAAGAATAAGGAAAGGTTTGACAGAAGATGGTGTTGCATTGATGTCTACTTCTGTCCTTTATTTAGTTGTCACATTTTCTAGTGCGGGTAAATTGGCAAGATATTGTCAACCTATCTTCTTGTTAATACTTAGCCTTCTGTGTGGAAGCTATTCAAAGGCAAGGTAAATGCAATTACTGGAAAAAAATGTTCTTAGCAGACAAAAAGGGAGGTTAAAGATCGAAGTTATTATGAAAAACTAGAAGGGAGGTAATGTAATATAGTCTTCATGATATTGTACGCAAAGACACATACGTTTGAGCCAACCATATGGTCCTTCATCTCTATGTGTGCCTGATTGATATTTACTGCGTGCAGGGCCAAGACGTTTCTTGTACTACAGTGCAATGCGGCTATTTGTGAGTGAAGAGGTAACTACCTAAATGTTGTTTTCCATTTGACAGGAGTATATTTGATATACATTTGGGATTTTGGTGTATTATATGCTTAGGAACCAGTGATGAAAGAGGATAAATTGCTTATCCTTTTTATATAGTGAGATGTTTGATATGACTTGTTAATGATGGAAATCATTGCACTTAGGTATATTGTTTGGTTGGATTATCTTGGGTACTTTTGACAATTACCAGTAGCAGGTTATTTTATTAGAAACTATAGGACATTAATGATAGATTTCTAATTTTTAATTAATGGGAGCAGGCCTTGCTTTCTAGGGCCGATGCAAAAGTCAAAGAGTTACAGAAATCAATTGACTTTCTGAAGGCTGAAAGTGCGAAGTTGGAGGTATGACCATTTCTTTTCCCTGGTTTTAAGGTCACGATTCTTTAACTGGGCTGATTGCCTATTGATTAGTTTAGTAAAACAATTGTACTTTTTAGGCAAATCTGTTCAAGAACTGAAGTGGATCTTATTCGTACCTTATGATTGCAGAATCGGGCAGTACAAGCTGAAGGAGAGATGATACGTGGAAGGACTAAACTCAGGTTTGCATTTCCGGCTGGATTGTTGTGTATACTTCATGACTTGTCTATTTGAACAGGCTGGATTTCTGCTCAATCTTAATGCTTCATACAGGCAAGCAGGCAAACAAATCCGTAGTGTCATACAGTCAGCTTATAGGATAGAAAGGCAAGCTGCAGGTTTGCGATCAATCTCTCTGGTTATCCATGTTCAATTCTCAGTAATCCAAACTCTTGTCATATGGACGAGCCATAGCTGAAGCAAAATCGAAGTTCTTTTTCATCAGCGATTTGTTATGTAAGGAGCTTCTCCAATTAATATATGTTTTATCCAGGCCTGAAAGATGTTCTTAGGGAGCTTCCACGAAGAGAAGTTTCACGATTCCGGTCACAAGTAAGTCCCCTACACAACTCCTTTCTAATTTATCGAATAGGCTCATCTACTATTTATTTGATACAAGAAAATCTATAAGTGGGAAAACATGACTGATTGAGCCAGTTGATTTGCTATTTTTCCTTATGACTTTGCCTAAGAAACCATGCTCCCGTGAAATGTAATTTTGGGAGGGGACATGGGTTACAGGAAAACCAGGAATCTAATTTTTGCATCCTTAAGAGCCAACTTTACTTTTGTTTTCTCCCTTAAGTTATATCACAATCACCATCTGCCTGATCNTATATATATAATTATAATTAAAATCAAACATAACATATTTGTACTCTTTTAGTTTGACTTTTTTTTTTTGACTGCTTCGCCTATTTAACACATTTTAACCACTTTGTCGCTATTGTTTTTGTTCTTGTCTCTTTGAGCGAGAATGAAAGAAGTTCAGGAATGCATACTTTGGTATGTTTTGGGATGTGGCATGATTATTTGTATGACATTTTTAGAGATTTTAGTGTAGTTCCCAAACCACAATGCCCGTCATTTACTTTGATATAAGAGAAGTTAAACCACATCAACAGATGTGAGAAGAAGATTAGTGAGCAATATATTTGACAGGCATTTTAAACTAAGTTCAATATTGTCAATATAGGGGATGTCAGACGTGTGGATGTGAGAATCTCTGAAAAAATTGAACAAAGACTTGGAAAAGATTAGCTTGGCTTCTCAAGAAAATTTTCGAAATACTTTTTGGATGAAGAAGTGCTTTGAGACATTTTTGAACAAGAAATTTCTCCTTCCTCTCACAAAACTCTACAGAACTTCAGAAATATTACAATTATTTTGAACACACATTCCTGTATGAACTTCTTTCTTTTGTCCCAAAATAATATTAGAAAAACTTCTTCCAAAAATTGCCACTAAATGGCTCCTTGATCTTTTAAGGTTCTTGCGAGACAGATGGAATCAACTAGGAGAGGAAGAAACACTTTCCTTCGAAAATTCCTTCAGAATATTAGTCGGTAGTGAGAAAATTAGTGTTTGTGTATTTTATTCATTAATGTGCAAAGCATGATTTATCAATGGAAGTTAGGGCCTATTGATTTATAATGATAATGTTTTGACCACGTGGATATGACATTCAGTGTATTTCATTAATCTGATATGTGGTGGTTTTAAATTTGTGATTTTCAAACGATGTTGCTGCCACGTGACCAGGAGGTCACGGGTTCAAGCCGTGGAAACAACCTCTTGCAGAAATGCAGGGTAAGGCTGCGTACAATAGACCGTTGTGGTCCGGTCTATCCCCGGACCCTGCGCATAGTGGGAGCTTAGTGCACCGGGCTGCACTTTTAAACGATTGAGATTCAAATGATGTATTTTCAAATGTAATTTTTAGAACCCAAAACGAGGTCTTCAATTGAATATTTGCTCTTTCAGTTAAATTTCATTTTTATCTTTCATTGAGCCGATGGTCTATTTAAAACAACCTCTCTATCCCCTCAAGGTAGGGGTAAAGTGTGCGTACACACTACCCTTCCCAGACTCCACTTGTGGGATTACACTGGGTTTTTTGTTGTGTTGTTGTTGCTCTTTCAGTTAAATTGTCCAAAGCATTAACATGCTATGGTAATGTTGTGAAATTATGGTGTATTTGGCTACAGTAACTATAGCATCTTTTTACTTTGAGGACATTTTCTGTTATTAGGTTTCCAACCTTGCTTCAGAGGCAAAAAAGGAAAGGAATGTTCTCACCAAGGAAGTTACGAAGATAAGCAATTATGGCATATCCGTCTGACTGAACTGCACTGTTTTTTTTTTATATGATCTAATACATGCTGGACGTGAGGTGCCAGATACTGTTTGGGGAGCTTTTTAGTTTGGTTATATCAACTCTAAACTTTGCTGCAGCCTATAGGAGTAATTTGGCATTCACTGATTCTGTGGGGGTGTTCGTTGGTCGGTTTGCTACGGTCTTGAAAGATTTTGGTTTCGGTAGTTTCGTTTTTAAAAATGTTATACTACCATACTGAATAAATTCAGTTTCGGTTTCTCACTTTTTGGTTTCGGTTTGTGCGGTATGATAACTTCTATATTACTCTTTAAAGTTGGATTCTATCAAGCAAACTTGTAATTGTGTTTTCTGAAACTGATTTTAGGTACTGTTAAAGACCCGTCTATGTGGTACCAACTAGTAGTAGGGATTGTTTTTGGTGCCTGGGTACTGTTGAAGGCAAGATTTAGAAAATCTCCTATTTGTCCTTAAAGTCAAATTACTTAGTTGCTGAATGAAATGGACTTGATTGGAACAAGAAGGAATTAAAAGACTAATAATACAAATTGTCGCAATTCATTTGAGAAGGATGTCTGTTAATTAACTGCGTTTGAACTTGTGAATGAAATATCATTGTAAGGTTAAAAACAGAGCATATTTGATGGGATTTAAAATGCCGCACCAAAGTAATGCAAGATGAGCACAAAATGAAAAGAACATTTTAGATTTAATTTAAAGCTAAAAAAGGACTGTAAATATGTCACTTTGTTCCCTTCCCTTATTGGGAGCCAAGGTATCTGCAGTAGCAGAAGATAAAAAGAGCAACTCTGTAGTGGTGACTATGAGAAGAGCACACATTAAAATATTCATAGTATATCAAGTCTCTCTCGCCTATCCAGACACGTGCAAAGCCAGCTTCCTTCCTGCATCACTCGCCTAGTAAATGTGATCATCAACAATAACTACAGTATCTAACGGCAAGCCTAATAATTTCTTACAAGTGGGTCTAGGAAAGGTAAGATGCACACAGCCTCGACCCGAGAATAGATGAAAAAAGTAATGGCAACAAGTATGAATAACAACATAAAAAGACCGAAGCTAAGAAAACAGTTATATTTTAGATAGTAATAGCAATTTATGAATAAAATGATATCATACAAACACTAATGCTAGCGAAATAGGTAAGACAAAGAGATACGCTCGACTATCTATTAGCCTTCAACCCTAATTCTCGACCTCCACACCTTTCTATCTAGAGCCATGTCCCGCCTAATAACCTCTCCTCAAGACTTCTTAGGCCTACCTCTGCCCCTCCTGATACCCATTGAGGCTAACCTCTCGCACCTTCTGACTGTGACTTCTATACTTCTCCTCTTAATATGCCGAACCATTTCAATCTCACCTTCCACATCTTTTCCTTTACAGGGGCCACTCCCACCTTATCCCGAATAACTTTATTTCTAATTTTATCCACTCTGGTATGTCCATACATCCAACTTAACATCCTCATCTCAACTACTTTTATCTTTTGGACATGAAAGTTCTTGACATGCTAATACTCTATTCGATATAACATAGTCGGTTTAACTACAACCTTTTTAAGTCTCGTGAATGTGATCATATTGCCTATATTCAAATCCAATTATGTATACTAGTTTTTTCAATAATTTTTTGGTATTTGGTCTCACTGGCTCGATAATTCAAATTCACCTTGTGAGTCCAGTATTAATTAGCACTTCTTATGATTCAACCAATCTAGATCTCTTTATTTCCAATGCTTGAATCCCAAAACTTGCTGGGTGAAAAATTCTCACCTATTTTGCTACATCCCTTAATGGTAATTATATACTACTTCATATGTAGTTAATTAATGAATATTAAAAGTAACTCTGTTTGTATATTTATATTGACTAAATTTGTACTCAGTTTATTAGTACAGCGATGCATTGAATCTGCTGCTAACTTAAAAAATTGTAAGTTTGATTATGCTCAGTCTCCATGTGATTACTGTTAAATCCAACATGACGTAAATGTAAAATATGTCAAGGCCTATCCAGTCACGTGCAATGCACACCTCCCAACCCATCACACTCCCCACCATAATTCTTTTCTCTCTCCACCCCATTTGGTAGTTGCATACTTCAATGCAATATTGCGTCCTCAAATTCCAAAAAACGATTATTCTGAACTATTTTCTTAAGAAAATCCCCAGGAATAAAACTAAACAAATAAAAAAGAACGTTCCAGATTGTAAAATTAGCATGATGATAAAACCCAAAAAAAAAAAAAAAAACCCAAAAAAAAAAAAAAAAAGGAGTCCACTGTCAGCTAGGTGGTGGAGACACGTGTCTTCTTCTCTTCGGATGACGTTAGCAGACTCGAAAGTGATGTCCGTACATTCCCTCTTCCGTCGGCGGCGGCGGCTGTTGATGGATCATTTCCTTCTGTCTCCGGAGCTCCATAACTTTCCGGTGAGAATTCGAATGTTGTGTTAACACAAAAGTTGGGCTCGCCGCGGGCCGATACTCCGGCACAAGCCGGCCCGATTTGAACCTAACTCCACAAGCATTGCAGAGCGTTTTTGGGCCTAAAGGCCCAGTTCTCCACTGTGGCGTCTTCTCAGAAGCGCAGTGTGTGCATCTCCGTGGCACATCATCGTCCATTGAAGATGACCTTTCTCTGGTATATACTGAAATCTCCTTATTCTTCATAGTAGTAGTAGTAGTAGTGTTAGGGTTTTGGAGTGAAGATGTCCAGCTTGAAGTAGAACGAGAACGTTTGCTCCTTGACCTGCCGTGGAACGACGCTGTAGTATTGGAACTGAGATTCATCGTTCCGGTGACGGAGTTAGTCGGAAAACTACTGAACGAGTCTTCTACGAAGTTCGAGAGCCATTCCAACTCAGCTACATCATCACTCTGCAATGAAAATTCAGAAAAATTGGTAAAAGCAGTAATTTCTTAATTGTTGTTGTAAACTAGTCCGCGTTGAACACATCAACACATAATTAAGTAAATAAAAATAATTCATATTTTATCTAAAAGTTCAAAAGGTTTTAGAAGAGAGAATCCTAGCATGTTAACGAATTAATTAGTACTCGTAAATAGAAGCTATTGTAGTGAACACTTTAAATTGCTGAATTCAATAAAGTATAAAAGCGCACTTTTATTTACTTTATTTTAAGTGTTTAACGAGTAGAAATTCTTACGGGGACGCAGAGGTTGTCGGTGAAGTCGTCGGAGCAATTAGGAAGAAGAGCGTCGTAGTAATTGGCGGTGGCAGCGGAGGAGTTGTCGGAGTGAGGTTGATGAAGGTGGTGGTGGTGGTGTTGAGAGTCGGGGGTGGCGGTGGTAGAGGAGGAGTTGCTATTAATGGAGAAAATTTCGTCATTAGAGAAATCGAGAAGATCATCAATACGAAACAAGTCCGGTGCTGAAACTCCGTAGACATCCATTTTTTTTTCTTTCTGGATATTGTTTATTGTAGAGCTTAGATAACGAGAAAATTACAGGCGAAATAGTGCGTAGAGAAAATGGGAAGTAAGTTTCAATCTCAGACTCTGCACTTCTCTCTCTAAAATAAGGGAGTATGGTTTAGAGAGAGAGGGCGAGAGTGAGAGAGGAGAGGGGAAGTGAGGGGCTGGAAAGTAGTGAGGATGATAATAGATATAGGGAGTACAGTGCAAGTGAAGGTAGGGAAGAGAGGAGACAAACCAACGTGAGTAGAGAAAATCACGAGTTTTGCTCGTGTTATTATGTCTATACCTTCAACTTTACTTTGATCTAATTGTAATTACAAGTACGTGCCATAATCATAGGTTTACGTTTCAAACAGTGAGCCAGAATTTTCAGGAAGAACATATAGTATTATTTACCCTAAAAAAAGAGATAACAATTGTATTTATACGTAATTTTAAGGATATATTAATTAATTTAATACAAGTGATCTTAAGACGTTAAATTAAGTAAATAAAAGATCTACTAGTAAATAAATTAATTCAACGCGCTCGGTTTTACCTGTATACAAGTATATTATATACATAAAAATAAAAAATCTAACTTATCTACGCAAGGTAATTTTTTGACAAAGGGGTATCAATTGACTCCCCTGCTAATGAGTGTGGCTCTACCACTGGTTTCGAAGATGGAAAAATCTCGAACGTTATCTTTTTAATAAACATATTTTGATGTGAATTTAAAGTAGTCCTATCATTATATATATAAAAATAACTTAATCTAATTAATTTCAAGAAAAATATTACTAGTAGTTAGAAATTTTAAATAAGTTAACTTAAGGGAGTGATTCATAAATTTGAGAAAGAGACGTTATCGTCGTCAGGCTCAGGGCATTTCCAATCTTTACCTTTTTTTTGGTCCCTGTAATAGAGATTTACCCATTTTGGGGACAACTTATTCCAACCATTCCCCCATTTTCCATAAAAGAGAATATTCTTTTTTATATTCTTCTCTCTCTTCTATATTATATTATTATCTTTCATTTTAATTTTATTTTTTAATTACCATTAAACAAATTTCATCTTTTATTTTCATTAATTTTTAATTTCCATTAAAACAATTCCATAAAATTTTAAATAATATAATTTGTAAGCAATTATTATAGATTAACTAATAATTCAAATAAAAGTAAAATCACTGCGATACAAGATTAATTAAATACATATTACATAACGATAAAATTCATTCAGAATACTACATTAATATTCAACTTCAACCTCTAGTATTCTCCCATAAATGATTTATTAATGCATTACAAAGTGCAAAATGAGCATCTTTGTCCTTAATTCTTCTATGTCGAGCTAAAAATTATTGAAATCGTTGATTTTCATCTACTGCCATTTCTACTATTGGAGGTGGACCTTCCAAATCATCTTGAATTGGTGCATTAAGATCGCGCTCATTCTCGATCGACTCGTCGTGAATTTATGCGACAAGAACAACAACGAATAATGTATAAAAGAAGTCAACAATATCCACAGTTACAACCACAACAATCCTCGTCCCCATTCACTCAATACTATAATGATTTTGGTGTATCTGGAAACGGCATATCTCCCTACTAAGTTATTATGCTATTTACCGTAGTTTCAATTTTTATGTATTTTAATTCAATGTATTTTCGATTTTCATGTATTTCCAATTTTAATGTATTTTCAATTTTTACTTTTTCAATTTTAGCAACATCTAATATTTTATATTCGCACCTTTCAATTTTAGCAACATCTAATATTTTATATTTGCACCATTCATTTTTTGAGATGATTATATATTTTTTGTACAATTATAACTTATAATAAAATTAACTTATAATTTTACATAAAAATAATAAAT